ATGGATCTTTCTTAATAATTGTTTTGAAAAAAATATTTCGCTGAAAGAAGCAAACATCTGTAAAATATAATTTCAACAGGATTCCTGACGTCCTTAAAACATTTAAAAAATCATATCACCTATATTGAAATAAAAGAGTTATTTTCAATTTTAAAATTTCAAAACTTAACATTTTATTACCAGATTATTGAAGTTATGTATTGAAATTGATTATTTAATACTATGGTGAATAACATAGTAATAAAATACATTAATCTTCTTAGTTTTGCAGCCACTATTCCAGTTTCTTAAGGACCTTACGAATTCTTTTTAAAAGGGCACTATCGTATCAGACATACGTAAATATGCATGATAGTAAAAATCGTAATTAGTCATAAAAGGAATAAAGCAACAAAATTGTAGTAGCAAAATTCGCTACTGCACTATAAAAATAATAAAAATAACTGTTGAACATGTTTTGCGTCATTTCACGTGGAATATGCAGTAATCTCTTTCAGAATGTATAAAAAAGCATCAGGATGTTATTTGTTATTTGCAAATGATCTTTATCTAAAGAAAGTCACGTAACTCAAATATTTGGTAGAATGAAACAATTTTTCTTAAGAAAAATTTTTCATACTATATTCTTTAACATACATTTTTCAATCTTTTTGAAATTTCCCACAACATTCACTAATTTCTTCAATTATAAAAAAAGAATTATCACCGAAAAAAATAAGAGAAATATCTGAAAAAAGATCTAAGAGAAATATATAAAAAAATCTAATGAATTTGCATTATATTGTCTTCTAGACATTTTGCAAATTTTACAGGATCTTTTCCGTGATTTGCCCTGAAATAATTAAAATAATGCGAATTTGGTTTTAGAAAAAAATCTTCATATCTAAAAAGTTAATATCAACTTAAAGCAAACACTGCTTTATTAAAAGTGCATATGTTCAAATACTAAAATCCTTGGAAATTATGAACAATTTATGGATCAATTCAAATTTTATTTTTAAAGAAAATGAAAAAGAAAGCATTATTTGCTCTTTGGACAGTAATTAACTAACAACAAATCTGTAACATAGAAACTTCAATATATTTTTCTATTAACTATTTTTTTTNCATTTGAATAAAAACTTAATGTTCAGTTTTATGCACAATGTAAGACATGTACAGATTGTACTTAAATATATAAATCCGTTTTACAAGCGAAAATATTGAATTATAATTGCATACTAACCAAATTTGTTACAAAAACAATTGCTTTCAATACGGGCAGGTTATTGGAAAAGGTTTTGAAAAAATTTCATAAAAGTGATAAAACTCATAAAAGTGATTAAATATTTTAAAAAAACCATTTCAAACAAACTTAGTTTACTTTCTTAGTTATTTTTATTAGTCACACACGGAAATAAATTTTAAATTTTATCATAGTGTAGGATATTTTTATAGAGCATTATATATTTTGGTTATGAAACAAAAACTCAACTAGGCTCAATTAGATTTTCTTTTGTTAACTTTTTAAACTTTTACTTGAATCAAATTTACTTTCTTGCAAATTTTTATGGTTATTAAAAGCTCCAACCAACAAGAATATATCGATTTATTTCTTGATAATCACTATCACTTTGTACACGCACACTGAGAAAACAGTTCTGGTAAAAAACATACACTAATGGTAAACATATTTATAAAATATTAAAAAAATATATAAAAAATACTTAAAAAAATTAAAAAAAACACTGGAATTTTTGTAACTTACACCAAATTATTCATTTGATAATTTTGCTATTTGTTATGGTAATGGTTCAGTTGAAATTTTTGTTTTCAAAATTATAGTCTTATTACCGCAAATAGAGAACTAAAAAGTAATTTTTATGGAAAAATTGTTTCTACGCAACATTCAGAAGAATCACAATTACATAACCAAACAGATCTTCAGAACTATTGCCGCTGCTCGGACACACGTCTAGAAGCTTCGATTACATCATTTCCTGCTCCTAATTTGATTGTACATAAGTTCATGTGTTTCAAGTAGAAAAAACAGTTACCTTGTTTTATGTATCTGAGAAGTGTTCCATAAATCAGTGCAACTAGTCATCAAGATTTTGTTTCTTTCTACGAGGCACAATCATTCATTTTGCAATTTAATTCGTAATTTTCGACATTTTGATGCAGCTGGTATCACTAAAACTCCATCAGTTAACAATGTTCCCAACCCATTGAACTGCTTTTTGTTGTTAATCATTTCGACTTCATACATGTTTATCATTAGATTGGATCTCAATCAGAAAATTTAAAAAGTCTTTTTTTTAACTCCTTGGGTGATTGTGAAGGTGTTGGAACTTAGTGCGCAGACGATTCTATCTTTTTAAATTTCCCAAGCATTACTATTATATTTTCCCATGGATTACTGCGGTTTGCCAGTCAGAAACTTTTAACTCACCCATTTATATGGAAAGCTTGAATCCATTAATGTTACTATTCAGTATCTTACAATTCATTGGAGATTTTTTATTCGTTTATTCGTTACTATTTTAAATTCAGCATGACCGCTACAAGGTTTATTCTCTAATCAAGATAGAATTAGTCTTCGTGTTCATCCGTATAAGAATCCTTCTTAAAATGCTCTTTCAGTGTGTGCCCTCCCACTGTCTTTCGTCATTCTAATTTTGAAATTTGCCATTTCATCCTTGAAAACTAGACATAAATCGAATCTTCAGAAAAACATTTTGTACTGCACCTTTAATCTCTTTAAGTATAAGGACTGAGGATGTTCTCATCAGCGGTTTTCATTTCAAACTGGACGGTCCAGGGTCGAATGCGATTGCCGATTTTAGATTTTTATCTGGGTCCGACAGTCCTTCTGTCTACCTTTTTCGTTTTAAAATTGTCAATTCAGCTATTTCTATTTTATGTTCGCCTATACCAGAGATAACTGCTAACTACATTGACGAAAGCCCTGCATTATGTTACAAATATAGTATCTGTATTATAGAAAAATATTGCAGAACAAGAAAACCTTTGACGTAATAGTCAACAGTCCGACATTCACTTAATAAAGAAATACATAATTTCAGTCTTATCCTTGACACTTTCTATTTACATGTTCGTAATTATATAGTTTTTTTGGTTTAGTAATTAATAACTAGCAGTTCACATAGAAATAAAAAGGAATTCTAACCAAATTAAAAGTTTTTTAACAAGCATTTACTAAATAAATTAAGATTAAATAATAACTGAATGTGCTTGCGTTTTCGTTAAAACATTTAAAAAAACTAGAAAATTACCAAGCTTTCTTAAATTTTCTACCACACATCATCGTGACTATAAAGCAATGTTTTATCTAAAAATTCACCAAAAATCATATTCAAAGCACTATGATAAAAATTAAAGTAGTTTTTGATTTTATCCTGCTTATTTACTTGGTTTAAATAAACAGGAAACAGAATGACATGTAAACAGAAAAGACAAGTCTTTAAATAAAACTTTTTAAGTTACAAAATGATACCAAAGGTTGCACATTATATTGGGTAGCTGCATCTGAGAAGATTAAAAGAATCATATGGATATGCGCAAAAAGAGCATGACAACAAAACCTAAACAGTGTTACATCTGGGGAAAGTCTATAAATGGCCCTTGTACAACGATCGTAGATATTGCAATCAACTCTGTTTTCTCTAAAAATTCAATATTTTCTATGCAATAAGGAAAATTCTGTTAAAGTATATAGTTATTTTAATTTATGTACAAATATTTTTTACATATTAATACTAACAAAATAAATAATTTTAAATAAATTTTAAAAAAATTTCATATTTTTATTACATTTTATAAAAGAAAGCAAATATAAATATTTTATTTTTTTCTTAATAATAATGCAACGGCTAACTTTTTATTTGAATGCAAATATAAAACTCATTAATTCAATGTCTCGACAAAAACAAAATCTATTTCTAACTTTTTTTTCTTTATGTCTTATTATCAAATTGTTTCAGTTACATGTTTATACTAATTCTGTCAGTCTTTATGGAGCTTTCTCAAAATTATGTTGAAATCTAATATTGATAACAAGATGGTTAGCCTTTCGTTTGGTTTTGTTATCCTTAGATAAATCGCGAAATCTGTCTGCGAAGAATTCAAATACTTTTATTTCTAATTATTGATGAACGGGCTGGGGTTCTTTGGCTTCTCAGTCCGAACCATTTACTTTATATCTCTACAGAAATTTTTGATGTTAAGAGAATAATTCTCTTGATTGAATGATTTCCACAAAAAAATTAGATGTCTTGCAATATCTAAGTTCTTTCTTTTATTTTTGTTAGTCTCGAAATCAACTCAAGAGCAAGTTTTAAAAATTAGATCTCATGATGGCGTCAATTATGTTTCTATAAAAATTGATAATTTGCATTAAAAAAAATTACGAGCAACGAAACTAAAATTGGAATAACTTTTTTTTAAAAAGATAAGAAACTAAAAAGGAAAAAAAGAAAAGAAAACTAGCTTTAAAACCGCTAATAAAAAATAGCCTCTACCACATTGTAAAACTTAATAGTCGCATTTTTGTGGAACACAAGGATACATATTTCTTATAATAAAGTTACCAACAAGTAACTCTCGAATTAATTTTCAACTTAATTTTTCTATAAAATCGTACTTCGTGCACATTTTTTACACAATTCGTAATGCAATAAATTCTTTATTAGGAAATACATGCTACTATCATTAATGTAAAGTAAGCATAATACATAAATTTAAATTATATAAAAGAGACATTTCCTTGCTCATCACATAAAATTAAATTAACTCCTAACTGCAATTTTAAAAGGAAATTGAATGGAAAGAGAGAATCTCTTCATTGGAAAGATATAATCTCTTAAATGTCATACGTTTTGGTAATCAACAATTAGAAATGTCTTGGAATCTTCTGAAGGAAATAATATTTTTATTTCCACTGACTTTTGTGTGCTCAGAATATTCATAAATTTGAATACGGCAGCTGTAAAACAGCAATAATATATTTTTATTGTTACTATTACAGGGAATAATATACGTTGTCCTACAAATAGAGGATCGGTGGACAGTTTTCCACATCTTTTTCAAAGTATCCAGGACAACATGAACTCTCTCGTACTTTTCCTCGGAGTCACCCTTTTAGCTTTATGTAAGTGTCTTAAGGGGGTTCAGTACCTAAAAACCTTCAAAAAATCGAATTTGAGATTTTGATCAATAATTAAACTAGAAACTATTAGCTTTCTAACGATATATTGCTTTTGTTTGAAATCCACGTAGAAGTGCACTTAAACTTAAATTAAAAAATGTCAACAAACCGAAAACACCCATGCCACGCCCACTTTTGATAGACGATTTCGTAAACATTATAATGTCCATTATTTTTTGCATGTGCTATTACCAAGTCATTAAAAAAATTTTATATAATTTCAACTTTACAATATCTTTAGTTGATTGTAACTTTAACTGGATTATTTGTTTGTTCTTTATTTTCATGCGATTTTCGAGAATATAAAGCTGAGATTTACATTAGTTTGATTTGTTAAGTCTATTTTTGTTTTGTTCTTTTATTATACTGTTATTAGGTCATTATTTTTACGTTTTTTTTATTCTTCATTACGTTTTTGTTTACTTACGTAAAAGAGAAGAAAATAAAGTACTGAAATGCAAAAAAAACATTGCTTATGGACCAGGATTGTTTTGAAGCTGTCATTACCGGCATAGATTAGGAATTTCGTTTACATTATTCGAATTTACCTTGGACCGGATTTTTTTTTCTCCCTAATTTCTAGTTACATCATTTTGATTTTTTGTTTAAATGTTCTTTACATAATATTTCTAATTTTGAAGTAAATTCTTATTTACAGTTCTTTGTTAATTATTTCTGTGTTTAGAATGTTTATCTTGAAATATGCATTTTCTTAGATTTTTTTTGTAATATAGTTATTTTTTTTAACAAAAATACTTTTAACTCATTTAAATTTAAACAAAACATCTTGGTAAAGACTTGAATATTCAATTTTCATGAATAAAATTTATGGGTGATTTATGAATTATACAATTTTATAATTATCGCATTCAGTTTGATCATTTTAAGTGCTTTTTATTCGCTCGAAAAGTGAGTAGAGTATAGTATTAAAACCTATTTTTCAATCAAATAAAAGAAACATTTAAGAGTAATTTGTTTGAAATGTAAGCAGTACGAGATTTATAACTTAGAAACAATTTGATTTTTGAATTTAAATTTTAAATATTGTTGGTAGTCTAACATTTACGCTTTAAATGCAAATAACTCAAAACTATGTTTTTTTTGCTTCGATGTACCTTTTCTTGAAAACTATTGATCACAACACTTTGATATTTGATTTAAAAAGTTCCTTTAGTACTGTAGTTTGTGCTGAAGTGAGCAGTTTTTTAAGATAAACTTAATATTTTTTTTTAATTCAAAATTTTCGGATGAAAATGTGAAGCTTTTAAAATTTTCTGACATGCTGTGTAATTTATTTTTTTAAATTTCTTTTAATTCACTAAATTAAAAAAAGTTGACTTCAGTATAATCTAGAATATCTATTACATACACAAAAAAAATTTCAAAGCTCTAACTACGATACTTTTTTTAAAAAGGTACATCGAAATATGCCATTTTAACATTGTCAACATAGGAGGTACCGAACCCCCTTAAGTTACCATCGAATAGAATATCTGAGTTAAAAAAAAGGAATTCAAATATTATAAACAAAAAGAGCTTCGCTAAGCTATATATAACAATTTATATAACTATACTAACTTTTTTATCGTGTAGTTTAAAAATTATCAATATTTACATTCAAAAAGCCATAAATATTTCCAATTTTCATAGCTATATTAAAGTATGAGATAAATCATTATTTTATGATCTTTTTAAAGTGAAATTTTGTATAACTATTTAAAATTTGAATATTAATATGATTTATAATTATTAAATTCCAAAGAAATAACTAATGAGTGACAGAAGGATTGCTTTCCCCCCATTTTGAAGGCAAAGTAAAAAATAAATTTTATTAATTGGAGTTAAAATAAAACTTTAAATTTTTTTAAAGCCGTGTTTTTTAAATTTTGTTGACTCAATTTCAAGAAAAGTAAAAAAACCAATAATAATGCGCTTACATTGATATGGATAGTTTTAATGACGAGGAAATATGTATTAGATTCTGTTGAGTTTTAAGTCATCTAAATCGTCTTTTTTGCTCCTAACTTCAATGACTTAATAGCTTAAGCAAAATATAATAGCTTAAGCAAAATCAGTCTGATTGAGGGATTCTTCGAACAATATTTATTCATCCTAAAGACCTATTTGCTGCAATGAGACTAAAAATATCAAACAGATTAGAAAATTTAAAAAAAATAAAAACTTTTCCAATTAGCCTTGCTCACTGCAAAATGTTGGCCTTTTCTTTTAAAATTGGTCTGCGACATGCACGCAGATAAACGTTTCATTTATTTAAAGAAATAGGTTATTCCACAAGGTTTCAAATATATAAATAAGATATTCTAAATTGTACCAATTAATTAACTATCCCAATTTGTACATGGAAATATTATTGTTCAAGTTGCTACTTTCGAAGTAATTAAAACGACTATAATTGCATGTTTTACTGAAGAAAATTTTATATTTATAATATACTGTGAAAGGATAACTAAATATACTAGTTGCGTGTTATTCCGTTGTTTGGCATAATATACATTTTTATGTATAAATGTTCGAGGAAAACTTTCGTTATATAGAGAAAAAATATGATACGGTGAATCCTAAAACATGATTTAAAGAAAAACGTGTTTATATTTGATCTATTAATTTTCTTTCTAAAAAATCTTCATAATTATTTTTAGGTGAAGCTCGTCCAGCTGGTAAGTAAAAGTTTCATTATAATAAAACGGCATTTGATATTAATCATTGTCCATTGATGTCTTAATAATCTGTTCATATTATAGAGGCATATGTCGATATTTTGATTATCTGATGAAAATAAAATTAAAGTTTTTAAAACAGGCAAAGGAAAAATATATGATTGAGGAATGGAAAATATATTTTCTTGTCTTGAAAATGAATTCCTTTCAAGTTCTTTCCTTTCAAATATTTGAATCACAATAAGAGGTTAAAAACCTTAAATTTCTTCATTTTATTGAAAAGTCATATAATCGTTAAGATTCACTCTTATAATCGTTCACTCTTACTGTTCATTAAAGTGAGAATTTATAATTAAAGTAAATTTCCAAAATTTGAAGTAGGTGCTAGATAATAATGGAAGTTAGATAGTATATTTTAGTTTTGTTCAGTTGCTGGCATGAATTTTCTTTTCAAGTTTCTCATTCATATATTCAGAATTGTTTTATAATTCCAATTTTAGAATTACTTCAGCGAGTAACAATGTGACAGAAAATTTAAACTGACATTCTTCGCAAATAAAGGCTTCTCCTTGCGTTTAAAGAAAAAAATTATACCTAGCTATTAATTTGTGCCTATGCAACTCCTTACAAGGCTTCTAATGAGAAAACTTCGCCCTTATATATCATTGGCTTATTTACAGAACTTGTATTTAAACCAGTGCTTATATTGAATTAAACATGTCATTTCACTAACACCAATGAATCTAGAAAACCTTAATAACATAACAAAATATTTTGTATTATTTTATTTCTAAATTAAATACCAATAACAGAAGAGATCAAATGTAAATGTATAAATTCAGCATTTATCGTTTCTTCATTCTACGTAAGACATTCGATTACTTTTCATAAGGATTCACTATGAGAAGGATTTTTACTACATAATATTTTGATTATTATCCTGATCTGATATCCTTATTCAATAAGATATATTTTATCATGATTAACTCTATTTTTCTCTATGTTTACAGTGCATAAAGTCAGTAAGTAAAATTTTAATAAATTATTTATTATATTCCAGTTTAATTATAAGACACAATTAGTTTTTCTTTAAAAAACAAGCTTAAACAACAATGTTCGTTACAAATATTTGACTTTTCACATAAATAAATTTTTATTTCATTTTGAAGACGAAAATTTTTTTATTAATTAAATCTTATTTCAATTTGTCATGTATCAATTAAAGGAACTTGCATGAATTTTTAAAACCTGAGGTGTATACAATTTACTTATTTTATTTTCCACTAATTTGGGAAGATTACTAAAGAATTTTAAACAGAAGTAATATATAAAATAAATCATGTAATTTGCGTAATCAATATTAAATTACTTGCGTAACAAATTGAGAAAGATTATGGTGATATATTCAGATTTTGCATAATTTATATTTGTTTAGCATTTAAAGATTTAACTGCTTAGAAAATGTAAAAGCATTATACACTAAACGGCTTAAATGCACAAAAAACTATTCTTGAAGACACTTTATAGTGTAATTCACGTTTGTGTTTTTTCATTGGTTTTCAGATAGATCAAAATATAGCAGAATAAGTTGAAATAAATCATATATTTACTAGCCTAAACACCAATTTAGAAACATGTACAAAAACCTTGTTTTAAAACGATTTTTAGAATTGCTTGTCTGTATTTTTTTTATGATTGCATTGACGGAAACAAAAGTCTTATTTTCATAGCTGGAAAACTTGTAACTCACGGTAAGTAACTGTACATTCTCATTTTCATGATTTCCACTGTATTTGGTAGAATAATTCCGCAAATTTTACATAATGTTTCAGAGCATCATCTGTAACGTGTAGTAAACAAAAAGCAAAAATATAATATAATATAAAATTGTAATAATTCATAAAGACAATTCATATGAGTAAATCACAAGTTCTCTCTCAATTAATTGATTTAGACTATTATTTTTTTATCTCACAATATAAGCTCGAATCCCTTAGCACCGAATAATTTTTTTTGTTAGAAAATTTCATACCAAAACGAAAAATAGTACTGAAATAGTTGCTTTTAATTAATCATTTTGGATAAAAAGAATTTAATCCAAAAAAAAATTATAAAATTAATAAAAGCTAAAAAATTTTACGTTATGATCATCCCCACATATTTCAATGAAAGAATGTGGATATCATGAAGGATTCGTGAGTAAGTGTCAATAATATTTAACTACTTTTGAAGAAACTTAGGAATCAATATTGTATTTATTTTTGTGAGTTATAGGAAAGGTTACGGTCTTAATCAGATTTGTGTAAACAGGGCCGTTATAGCTCAAATATTCGAAACGTGTATCACCGGAACTGCACGACAGGTAGGTTTTTCATCATCTTACGTCTAAAGTTTATATGCAAAGTAGATAAAGTATGGTGAATTTCCTAGCAGAGCTTAGGTTGTTGGAGGTTCAAGAATTATCAAAGAAAAGGATATAAGAATTCCCAAAGAAAAATATAGGGTAGTAGAAAAATTTTTATAAAATATAAATGAAAAATCTTTTACAGTTATTTAACATTACTTGAGCTCTTGCATAATTTATGATGCGTTTATTTAACAGATATAACTTTTGTGTTTTCATTTGAAAAAAAAACCTTTATAAAGGCCAATTTACAGAACTAAGTATTGGAATTCATTAATAAACTTTGTTTTGCATTTGAGAAACATTTTTGTTTCATTTTGTAGTTCATAAATTTAAAGAAGGTAAGTGAAATTCAAATATTCTTAAAAATGTACTTAAAATTAGATTTAATTTACATAATTATGTTTCATTTTTACGGAAAAGAATTGAATTTCTTACTTTTTTAATTTTTCTAATAAATATTCTATGCAGCGCGTGTACATTTATTTTGGTACATTTTCTCCAGGTTTTAGAAGAATTAATTAGTCACTTAATTAATCGCTCCTGCATTTGCTAATGTTTTAAATTGAAAAAGGGTCTAGGCCAGCCACCCTGAAGGGCGGTAGAAGTTATGCAAAATAATATTTCATTTATGTATGAATGGCAAATATAATGACAGACCCGATAAATTGGTAAATACAAAAACTTAGCATACTTATCACGCTAAATAATCTATTCTAAACAATAATGTGCAATGTTTGCCTCTATAAATAAAAATATAGCTTTGTATGTAAGAAATACAGCTTGGTACACCCACCGTCATCCCAAGTGGTTTCTAATGTATCAAGATGGACAAAGCGTTTTGAGTCAGCCATAACACTATCATGTATCAGAATAAGAAAACTATGAAGATTTTATCCTTCAAATTAAGGTGCCCATTATCCCATTACCTCTTGGCTTAGAACTGGATGTTGTGAAGAGGGACAATTACCTTAAATTCATATAAATTATACCTCTTATTCCTTTAAATTTGAAATTTTTTACAGCAGTATTTTTCAGACAGTTTGAAACTTATTGTTCGTATTTTGATCTTTAGACAATTTGCAGCATTATTTTGCCATCGTCAATCTACTAGGCTGAGGAATTATGTTTTAAGCATCCTTCGAAATTTGAAAAGTTTAAATGTCCACTTTTAACTTTTCTTTCTTAAATTGATATTCTCCCGTTAAAAGTAAACACATTTACTTGAATGAACATGATATTTTCGAAAGATTCAAGAAAGTATAGATAGTTACTTTTTATTTTTCAGATATATTTATTGATTTTTTTTCGATTTTTGCACTTACATTTGTTTGCATATCCTTATGCATTTTAGCACACCATGAAAATATTTTTTTTTTGCAGAAGTATTACCAACACCTAAAGATGGACTTGGCTTAAGTAAGTATAAACTGTGTTTCGTATATTCCGTAATCTACATAGCGTTTGATTTTATAGTATTTTATAATTAATAAAATAAAAATGCTTTTCTAATTTTTATCATACTGACACCAAAAGTAACATGTAATATACGATCCTTGTGCATTACAACTAGTTGCAAGTATAATCACTTCCTTTAATAGTTTAATAGCATGAATTTTAAAATTTAAAAATATTGTGTTCCGATATATTATTCTAGATGATTCAAAGTAACACACACACACATGTATAATATATATACTTTCAGAACGCACCCTGTATATATATATATAAAATAAGAATTGTTGTGTCGGGATTGCGACGAAAGTCTAATGTAATAAAAGCCGAGATCAATTCGACGCAAGCAGAATAAAAGTTCGACTGTGAGAGGATTTGGGCTAGTCGGTGATTGGGTGAGACATTTTGCCTCACATTATAATAGGCTGTTCTACACTTGGGAGATGGACATGAATCGGAAACACCATACTTTCAACCGCTCTCCTAACACAACTATATATTTTCCAGTTTCCCGCTCAAGAATTTGTCAAAGAAAACGCATCTTTATTCAGAAAACAAACAAACTTTTGTGTGTCTAGATTCATAGCTCCAAGTGCCGTTTGCACTAATTAATTGGCGTATTTACGGCTAAGCCCTTGAATTATTAAGATTGAGTCCTAGTACGTGAAGGGCGGATCATTAGATCTAAAGTTATTTAAGGTGCCCACTTTCCATTTTTTTTGCACTGTACAATACCAAAAACATTGAAAATAAACAAAAACAATGGTATTCTTTTACCTCTTTTTTTTTTAAAGGGAACATAGTATTTTTAAAATGGCATAAGGAATATAATTCTAAAATGTTCACTTTAGATAAAGATCATGTGGTTTATTTATTTCATCTGGAAAAAATAAGTAAAAAAAAAGAAGTCAAAAACTCTNTATATATATATATATATAACTGGCAAATAAGCTTATATTACCCTTTTACTTTTGAAACAAATTTAATTCATGTTTGGTAGTTTTAAAGTTTTAAAAACTTTTTTTTTTTTTAACTTGGAGAAGAGAAAAAATAGCATGTAAATCATTTCTATTTTGGGGTCGGGAGGAGTAAAATACCCTTACTAAAATCTGACTATTAAACTTATTGACTTTTATACACTGTACACTGACAAAAAGAGTATGGTCACAACTACCAGAATATGGTTAAATTTACCGTGTTTCTGGCTCTATTGAGACGAAACTCGATAATTTTCACTGAAGCACTTAGGTAATAATTTTAGTAAAATTAGCTCTAATAAATACAGTGGCATTATATGCAATAAAATTTTGTGAATGAGTCTCAATTGTGAAATTTTATCATGACTACAAGTTACAAAGGAAGAGGAATTAACATTAAAAGGCTAAAACTTCCTCCCGACTCCAGTTCAAACATTTGACATCATATTTTTTAGATTGTGACTAATCTCTTATTTTACTCTGAGAAAAAAAGTATGGTGAAAACTAACACAACTGTAATAAAATTTACTATGTTTGGTAAGTTTTATTACATCATCAAAAAGCAATAAGATATATAAGGTTGAATGAAATTTGATAAATTTTTTTAATTTTTTTATGATATATTAGAACATGGCATAATTTAACCGAACAAAAACCATTTATTCCGTTGCATTAATTTTTCACTTTTGAATTTTTCTCTACATTTGAGATAATCTATAATTTTTAAAACACGTATTTCGGTAAAATGATACAATACGAATAAAAAAAATACCTAATGAACGATTTAATTCCGTATATTTTGGTTTTATTACCAGAATTATGAGTTTTTTCAACCAGAAATGTCATTACCACCCAGTACGGTAATATCAACAGATTTTTTTCTCCGAATAATATAGGACTATTTCTAATCTGGAAAATGCACAGCGGTAGATAATTTACAATAAAAAATAGCAAAAAGTTTCACTTTACTTTTTCTGAAAATCTATAAATAGATAAATTTACGAATTTCTCTCTTGGGGTACATCCGGGATGCCCTATCCATAGATATATTTGGGAAATTTGTTTCAATGTCAGCACTAAGGTATTAAAACATAAAGCATTTTAAAAATTGAAGTTTTTACTATTATTTAGTATTTATTTTGTGGCAGAGGCATCTTTCCTTGTTTAATATTTACTAATCAATTTCAAATGTTTGTTCTTACAGAAACTAATTGCGAGCGTAAGTGATAATGAAACACTATTTTTCAGACATTTTTACTTTTGAATAAATTAAAAGAAAAATATTTTTAAATATGCACATTTTTATGATATAAATTCGAACTTTTATTTGAGCAAAAAAATTAGTTTGCAGTAAATATTTTGTAAAAACTATGTACTAATTAAAATTTTGCAATTTTAAGCTTTTGATATTTATGCAATTGTAAAACTAATACGTAATTTCAATACTTATACTTGAATATAAATATAAAAATTAGTTATTTTTCCACTTAAAGTTTTCATTATAAATTCTTAAAATTATTGCTCATCAAGAGGATGAAAATTACACGAAATATTTCTCCTTTTTTTTCTACATTTGTGTAAATATATATTAAAAGTTCTTGATATTAATTATTCTGTATTCTTACTTTTATCTTTTACTAATATGCATTTTTAATTCTTACAGAGGGAGCTTTAGTTGGTAAGTTATAAAAAATACTTCCTTAAGCATTTTAATTTGTTTTTCCATTTTGGTGTTATTGATCATTTTTTGAAATGAACCATGGAGGGATTCCAACAGATTTAAATTAATTTCTCAACATTATCCCTGACAATTTATTTAAAGTTTAACTATCTGTTAAGCTAAAGTTATTTTTCAAAACATTTTCAAATTCTTCGCTAATGTTTCGTTCTTTTATCGAGGTTAAATCTTTGGATGGTATTTGTTTGCTAGGCAAGCGTGAAATTCTATACCCTAGCAAATAAACCAGCGTAAACTAGTTTAAATATTTGCTGCTTTCAACAAAATTACTAGTCTGACATGGTGTGTATTTTTTGACTTTATTGCTTGTACAGCACGCGAATACCTTTTTGTGTTGCTAGATTAAATGAAAAAAATTCTAAATTTTAAATACCTTTGAAGCGACTGACGTTCATTCCAGTAGCTTCAGAGCACCATAAAATTGATATAATATGGCGTCTCAAACAAACAAACGTGAAGAAGTTGAAGTTGCTACTCAATGATTGAAAAAGTTTTTTCAATTTATCCCTCGAAAATCGAACTAACTGCAGAAATATAAATATTCTTGCTGGAACGTAGCATATCTGTCTAAGCTACCTACTGAGCATATTTCATTGTCAAGCATAAAAATGCATAAAATAACGTATTGATGTGTCTACCTCCCCATGCTATGGAAGTTCCTTAAACAGCTAATAAATAATAGATGCTTGTATATAACTTATCATACCAAACTTATATAGCTTATTATAACTTGTATATAGCTTATCATAAAAAAACTGAATTTTAAATACGTTTGAAACGACTGATGTTCATTTCAGTCGCGGTAGAACCCCATAAAATTGATGTAATATGGATTTGTGCATGGCGTCTTAAACAATCAAACGTGAATAAGTTGAAGTTGCTTTCCAAACAATTGAAAAAAATTTTCAGTTTATCGCTCACAAATATAACTAATTGCAGAAAATTAGCAATTTTTACTGCCACATAGCAAATCTGCCTAAATTACCTAAAAAGCATATTCCACTGTCAAGCATTAAAAAGCATATAATAACTTGTCGTTGAGGTGTTTCCCTCCCCAGGCAATGGAAGTTGCTTAAACAGTAAATAAATATAAGATGCTTGTATATAGCTTATCATAACATTACTGTGCAAGCTAGATATGTGAAATTTGATGCTGGCAAGCATTGAAATAAGCATATAATAGCTTGTTAAGATGTCTACCTGTCCGTGCTTTGGAACTAGCTTAAAAAGCTAATAAGCATGAGATGCTTGCATGTAGCTTATCATGCTATTGAAATAGCATATGATGCATGCAAGCAAATAAAAACATATAATAGCATGAAAATCTAGCAGATCTACTAATACATATCTAGAAGTAAAATATGTTTGTTGCTGGAGCCAACATGAACTTTAACTTGAGTAGCATGGATTATTACTTTGATGCCGATAGTTTTGGTAAATATATATCGATTCATAAAATTCTTCTTTTAATTATGACTCTAAAAGCTGTAATAATGGTTATTAACTATATTGTTTTAGAAGAGTTTAAAAGCAGTTACGAAATCTTCTAGCGAACGTTGTTTACAGATTTATATACATGTTTCTTTAATGTAATTATTTTTTAAATATAAGATAAATTTCCAGTCATTCTGCTGATTTTTTAATACACATTATTTCTAAACAGAAATTTTAAAAATAATCAAAATATGGTCATACAAATCTAATTACAACGTGACAAATAGAAATAATTTTATCGGGTGCAGTCATTTGATTCCTGATTTGAGTATCTTAAATACTAAAATACTAATTGATAAAATTATTATTGAAAAAACTAAAAGAATTATTTGACTAGATATCATGCGATTCTGGGAAAATACTCTACATTATTCAGAAATGGTTGATTTAGAAATAAATAAAACTAAGTTTAAAAAAATTGCATATTCTGTCACCACTAAAAGACTTATAAAGTTATAATTCAGAAACATAGGCATTACAGAGAAAACCATTAAATTTTAAAAGTTTACCTTCAGAAAGATTTATTGAATAGATTATTTGAACAAAATTTTCTTGTATGTTTAATAAATCCTTAAATGATTTTGTTAGAATTATGTTTATACATAAATGTTCCATATATTTTTAGGAGTTGGCCGAGGATGTAAGTTATAAATACTTTATTTCTAAAGATTTTATTATAAAAGAAAGCGTGATGAAAACTAAAAATTAAATTAAATAAATTAATACTAACTTGAATACTTATTTTTCAAAAAGGAAATCCTTAGTTTTTAGCTTTAAAAGTTATGAAATTAAATCTCGAATGCTTAAGCTAATATATTTTAATTATACAGTTGTGTATGGAATATCGACAATATAGGCAATAGTAATCAATCTTATAAGAAGGGTGTTGCCATGGATAGGAAGAGCTTGCGTTTGTCAACTGTTGAGGTAGTCAAGACCTTCTAGGGGCTGTTGCGCAGACAAAAAAAAAGAAGAAGAATGAATATTATAGACATTTTTAAAACAATTTTAATTTTTGTAAGCTCTTATTGTATAATTAAAATTCTATTATTTATTTTACCTTATATTACACACCGTAAATGAAACATCTGAAATTGTCTAAAATATAAGGAGTCTTAAGATATAATACCCAGAATGATAACTATAGAAATTATCTCAGAATCTGAAATGTACATAATCCATTAAACAAGATAAAAAGCAGTAATTTTTACAAATCTTAAACATAGAAATTGAGTTTGAGAAGAAGTTTCTTTAAAATTTAGCTAACGGTATGTTAAAAAGCAATGATTTTGAAAAATAAAATTTTAGATAGCTCTAGCCATAGTGTAAGTTATTGTAAAATGCAACTATTTCTGTTTTATTTTTAATATAATTAAAGCTTCAATGTTCTGTTACAGTGGAACGAGGCATTTCAGGTGAGGAATAGTTTGCTTTATTAACTGCATATAAAAAGAATATTTTCTAACTCATTATTTATTCTACGCTTAACACTCTAGATTCTTACAACCGACAAAGAGACTCACTTCTATTTCTCGTTATTAATTCTTATTCATCACTTTTTTTGAACCGATATTATCCTCAAAAGCAAAGAGGTTTCATTGATAAAATACGTAATTAAAATAAATATATGTAAGAGCGTTTTGTTTAAATGTTAATTGAAACAAACTGAACCAATGCCCAGATTTAGAAAATATATAGTTTGCCTGTTTTCTGTCTGTATATGAAACTCATGAACTTCGTAGTATCATAATAAAAATCACAATTATTTCATTTCTGATTTCGGGATAAGAAAAATCTTCATTAAGTTATTAAATTGATCTCAGTTTCATAATAGTAAATTTTGTGTTTTTGTTTTCTTAATAAAAAACTCTTAGTAAAATAATTACATATTTAAAGATGGATCAGGAATTTTAGAATGACGAACTATAACTAATCAACCATAGAAATAAATGAAAGAAACTTTTAAAAAACCTATTAATTCAATTTCTTAAATAATTTTACATTCAAAAACTCTTTGTGACGAGAGGTATAATACAGTGAAAATTTATTTCAATTTTAATAAATTACAAAATCCAACTGACTTTCGGTTAAAATCGTGCCATAGTATCGTAATTCAAGTTTTAAATGCAATTATTTTCGTGATAATATAGCTCAACTTTACCCTTATAAAGGATGCAGAAGTTTTGCATAATATTATAGTTTATCTTAGATTTTTCAAAGTCTCTTGCCTTTATTGCAATATCTGCCGTCATGCTCTGCAATTCATTAATATAAAATCAGAAATTTATTTATTGTTGCAATATTTCAAGAATTATATAAATTTTGAAATGTTTCAAATTATTGGAAATTAGTTTTTCAAACAATTAAAAATATTACATATTTAATAGCTTTTATCATTTAATTATCATATATAACATATATTTTTTCCTCGTTAATTAGTTAAATTGTCAGTAATAAGTATTAAATTCTGTAATAAGTATTAAATTCGGTAATAAGTAATAAATTAGCAAATCAGTTAATTAGTAAAGTTTCTAAAAGTATCTTTACGTATACATTTATAATGAGAACTTAAAAGCGAAACTAATTTGTGATATAGATGTTTTATATACTGATACGCAAAATGTTCGCAATTACCAAAATTTAAAATAGGCGCAAACTCGATAAAAAAAACGATCAAAAATAAAATGATATAATCATTGTAGATATATTTAAAAGGGTCCATCTTCTTTTTCCAAGCCTTGATTTTGAAAATATCAGTTTAAATGAGACTCTACTCAGTAGTGTAGAGGTAAATAGATCCAACATTATCATAATAAAAATTCTAAAATTTTTATTATTTAATGCTATTTGTAGCGACTAATAATAATAAAAAATGTTGCAGCTGTAAACAAAATTTCATAGAGGTACTTTCTATGTCCTTTTATTTAATGATCAAAATTGTTAATTTAGAAGAAATTTTTCTTATTTGCAGGAATTATCAATAATGGTAAGTGGAACTTTGTTGATATATGTCCAAAATAATTTTTAAAAAAAATTATTCAATCGCTTTGAGAAGAAATTTATTTACCGATATTTATTATTTGAAAAATGGATTGAATATTTAAATGAATTATTATTTTTAGATGAATGCATCATTTTAATTTTTATGTCACGTTAGGCTAATGCCTAGTAAGTTAACTATTTTGAGTTTATGAGCCAATTTTCCTTAATTAGTTACATTATTAACGCATTTCCTCGAACATTATTATAACATTAATATGTAGACCTTCCTTAAGTTAACAATATTCTCTAGCTGTGTATAACAATAAAATTCACATTTCAGTCGAGATTAACTCTTGTTTTCAAAACATATAATATTTCTTTTAATAAAAAAATTTAGAAAAAGTTATTAAGTGAGTTTAAGTATCAATGATTTTATTAAATATTTGCACTTATCATATTTAACAAAAGAGAAAAATATGATGTTGTTTCGTCTGTATGTATTATCCTTAATTCTGAAAATGTTTTTATATGAAATGTTATGAAAGTCTTTGTTTATACCCTTTATTCAATAACAAAATTTTTGTATGTACTATCCAGCTGCCGGTGTAGTAAGCGGTAAGAAGATGTTTATTATGTTACACTTATATATCTATAAAAGTTTGAAATGTAAGAAAAAGCTGTCAAACTTTCAATAACCATTATTAAGTACAATGATTTTCATTCAGTGAATTCATTATTAAATTTTCAATCCTGATTGCATCGATTAATATTAATTATGAACAAAATTATACATTTAAGATCAATTCTTAGTATTGCCTATTTCTATAAATAATGACATAAGAAGAAGTTTCAAAGCAGTTTAAGCAAATAATATCATGAAAGAGGCAATGAAATTTAAGATCTTCAATTAAAATGTTTAAGTCTTTGATTATTTGGCCGTTGTTAAAAAATTTCAGTGACTTTTTTAAATTTTTTCTTCATATTTTGCTGGATTATATACATAGAAATTCAATATCGATTATGCTGAAAATACATTTCCATATATTTATAAATTCATGACATTCTCTTTGTCAAAAAATATCGTCGCTATTGAACAGATTTCGTTTTAGTGGGATTTAACATAGCTAAACCATACCAAAAGAGTAAGATATTATGCAAGAAAACTTCATAATATTTACTTTCTGATGAATGAGCAGTTAGAAATAAATCAGAAAATCATATAGAATGTACAAGATTTTAAAAATTGCTAGATTTAAAAAAATGAACCTCAGAAACAGTTTAAAGATCATATAAAAGTTATAATATGAGTATTCCACTCTTCATGGGTTTATTCGGTACAAGCAGAAGGACTTATAAATATATGAACAGCTCAACAATATTTTAAAATAATTTTAAATAAATTCATATTAAAAAGAATTGCCTATATACTTTTTGGGAGTCCTTAATTTAATAGAAATCTGTTTGTGTATATTTAATAATTGACTTAATTATATAGCTAAAAAGTTAAAATTTTCTTTTTCTTTTGAATGAATGTTAATCTGAATATATTTTTGCTGGCTTCAGATGTCACGGCACATGGAAGTAAGTTCATTTTATAATTTTAAACATTCAAACTACTACTATTTCAAATTATCTATTACGCTAAGTAAACTATTGATTGCATTTTTTAATTGGATAACCAGTAAGAAACGTCAGGTGTTTGTTAACCAATCAGGTTCGACACATAGACCTGGCCACGTGATGATTAGACGCACCGATATGTGATTAGTTTCACGTAACCACTTGTGTGTGTAACCGCTTCTCCACTAAAAAATTTTGTAAAGCAAATTTAGAACAATAGCTAGAAGAAAGTTGTCTTTCACTGTATGTAATTATTTTGTTGTTTTTCATTTCTTTCCTAAAACATAAAAGTTTAACCTTCTCTAAAAACAACATACATGACTTTTGCTACGTGTTATTAGTTGAGGCACGTTCGAGACAGACTTGGCAAGCACAGAACAAAAAATTGAAAAAAAAAACTTCAGCTAATGTTTGATAGTATACAGATCTACGTAGTGAACTTATAACGTAACACGATGCAGCAAATTTATGCAAAAAATATTTTTTTATTTAAATCATATCCGAAAATTATCAAGATATAATTTGATACTAGCGCGTAAACCAAAAGATATAAAAGTATTTTTAATTTTTTCTTCACAAAGTTGTATTTTTTCCAAAGAATAAAAACTTTTACTTCAAAAGAAACTAAATTAAAGAATACAGTGTAAAATCTTACCGCTCAAATCATATATGATCTAACTTTTGAATCATATTATCAAATATTATCTGACTCTTTGCTTCTTAAAAGTGTCAGATTATAAACTTTTAGTTCTGTTGAGATTTCACATTTTTATGTAAGCACGGTGAAATGTGCTAATTTAAAAAGTTGTTAATATTTCATTAATTTCCTTAAAAGTATAAATTAAAAAAATATTTTCATCATTTTTCTACTTTTTACATCAACAACGAATTTTGTTAAGCAAAAAATTTTTATTTTGAATAATTTCTAAAACTCGCTATAAGATTTTGAACAACAAACTCATTTTGCAGAAATGTTCTTACATATTTAAAAAAAATTTAAAAATTTAAAAAAAACAATATTACATACTAACAAAATTATTTTTCATCTATTCTAAACGAAGAAAATGTGTTTTAAAATTATCTGATGAATACAAATGCAAATCCTAAAAAATTACAAATAAAATTTAATAATATTTTTCATTTAAAAATTGTAAATAACACAGCAATTACTTTCATTCGTAAAAACATATAACAACATTTATTTTAAGATTGAGTTAGTAATTTTATAATAAATATGTGTATTTTTCTAGATCTCTTGGGAATCGTAGGTAATAAAAATGTTGAATTATTATTTTTTATCTATCTTGTCTTATTTTATTAATTTTTTTTCAAGATGAAACAAAAAGTATTAAAAATCACACAGGGGATAATTATGAATGATATTTCATAATTTTGTCTGTCTTACTGCTTTTTATGTAACTTATACTATAAATCATGGCCTTTTTTGTTGCATAATTTAAACTTCATTTTCTTAAGAAGCTAGTATTCAAATTTAAGTAATTTGTTAATTTCTTTACCTCTACACAATATTCTATTAGAAATGAATTTTTAAGATCTAAAACCTTTGATACCACAAATTTGAAATCGGAATTAAGATTGTTTATTTGCTTACTTTTTAGGAATTCGCAAGGTGTAATTAATCTCTTTTAAAGCTAAATATTTTTCGAAGCAATGAAGAACTAATACGGCAATTTCTTCTCTTTATAGAATCAGAGGTCGGAAATATATTCTATATCTATTTGAATAATTTAACTACCTCACCTAAGTTTCGGGATTATAAATTTTATTGTATGTAACTTATATATTTATTGCATGTAACTAATATATTTATTGTATGTATAATATTTTTTTTTCGGAATCTGAGTTTTTTTTAATTAAAAAGAAACAGTCAGCTTACTTAATGTTTATTTAATGTCATTTAATATTTAATTAAAACCGTACTTTTGTCAGTTGCTAGTGACTAAGCACCAAATATTAAAAAAAACATCTATAGGGTTACTTTCCATTAATGGAAAGCAAGATGAAGTTTCCAAAACAATATAAATTATGTCTCACTAAAACGATGCAAATTTCAGTTTATGATAATATAAATTTCCTTTTATATTACTTTATTAAATGTTTCTGCAAAAGTCTCGTTGTTTGTTCAGAAAAATAATTTTGCGCAGCTATTTTTTCAGCTAATGTGATAAGTATTATAAGGAAGTAAAAAAAAATAAAAATTAAAAAAGAAAACACCTTGCTTTTCAAATTTAATGATATACATTTGCTTTGTTCAGCCTACATTTTTGAAAAACAATTAAATTAGTGTCAGAATTCTTTTTTTAAATACAATAACAAAAAGTGTGAGACTTGATAGGGCACCCATTTTTATTAACTAAAAATTAGATTTTAAATTATTTAGTTAAATATTAAATAATAGATTTTAAAAATTGAAATTGATTTTAGTATGTAATTATTTTAATAACAGGTGGTGCTGTTGATCGTAAGTATAATATTTAAACGAAAAATGCTTATTCTTTTTTTAAATAATTGAAATTAGATTTTAAATTGTTTTATAGTTACTTTTATAATTAAGAAAGAATGTCTTTAGAAAGAATTTAGACATTTTAAAATCGAAATTCTAAAATTTAACTGTGAATATAATAGCACTTTAAACTTAGCTTTAAATTATACATATATTACTATTTATTGATAAGATATTACCATTTCAAAGAAGACTAAGTTTAAGAAAGCATATTAAGTTTGATTGCGTAAAACAGTTAGTTATAAGTAAATTAATTGGTAAGATAGAGCTAATGAAGCACATTTGCAATTCCTAGTAGATCCACATTTGACTCAGCATTTAAAAAAAAACATGTATTCAACCTCTTCAACCATGTTAGTTAAGCACCTTTAGCTGACGTACCAGAATTCGTTCTTTTTTGATAATGATCAATTACATCTTTTGAATTTACTTTCTTCAACTAAGTTGTAATCTTGATAGTTAATCCTTTGTTTATTTAATTTTTTTGATCCTTATAAATTGGTCGCAACTCTTTACACAATATATTATGAATTAATTTCAACAAGAATTTTAACCAAAACATATGTGGGGTACATCTACATGAAACAAAAATGGTAGTATATCTTGTAAAAAAATTTACATGACATTAATTACTGACTAAAATAACATATTTTAGATGTTGGACATGCTGGTAAGGCTTTTTAATTTTATATTTGAATGTTAGACATGTTGCTTATTTTTTTACCAAAGGAATAATAAAGTTTCACTTTACATTCATCCCTTACACAACAAATTATTTCTAAAAGAGAAATCGCATAAAATGAGTAACGCTTCAAATATTTATTCTAATGAAGCAAAGAAAAAAAGAAAAAAATTAATTAAGAAAAAAAGGATTTAAAAAATATCTTTCGAATATAAATAAAAATTTCTACTTGTACTATACTGTAAAAAAAATTCCTGTTCATATTACGGTAAAACTTAGTAGAACATAGGTGGTGATAATTTAAACAGTTAAATATATTTAAACCGGAACATCTTGCGGAACAAAAGTCTGATAAACGGAAATTTTTACAGTAGTTATTACCGTAAAATCATTGAATCAATACATACTACTGTAAGAATTACTACATAATATGTAACGGTAAGAATGGGACCGAAGTGTCAGTACATTGTAAAGTAAATTTATTGATACGTAATTTACAGTGCACTTGCAAAACCTACAGAAAAGAAAACTCAACGAATAAAGTCTTTCTTAGGAAAATTTTATTTGAAACAAATACTAAACTTCGTTGTTCCTTTTTTATATACAAACGTGCTTCTTTTAAAATTAAATGTTGCAACATATTTTTTTTTACAAACATATTTTTGTTCCCTTTCATTTCACAAACATATATTTAATTTATTATGTTATTTTAGCTCAAGGCTTAGTTGACAGTAAGTAATATTTCCGTCTTTAATGTTTCCATTCCAGAATTTAACATTTATTCGCATTAGTCAATGCTTCAATATATGAAAAAAGATTTAAAAATCAGTAGATAAATTAATGTCATTGTATCCATAACATATTGTTTGTGTATTGAAAAAATTAAAATATCATTATTTAATTGAAAATAACATTTACAATTAAAAATTTTATTAGACTAGACAAGTTCTTTTTATTTTATAAAAATAATTGAGACTTAATTAATATTAAACTTTGAACGATGTAGAAAAACTGCTAAAAGCCGTTTATGTTTCAGATAACTTTTTCATTAAATACGAAAAATTATATTTTGTTTTAATCATTCAAATTTTTGTACAAAATTTGTAAAATATTAAAATTTTTTATGAAAGTTAACTATAACTACTTATTTTCTTTTGATTTCAAGTTCCGCCCATAAGCTCTAATTAATTTTTCTAAGATAAATTAAGCATTAAAACATACCTCATTAAAAATTGCAGTCAAAAATAAAGTTTTCAATTTTTAAATAAGCATTTGTGCAGTGTATGGTGCATTATTAATGTTCTTGTATATTTTCTTGCAAATATCAGATGTGGATCATGGACGTAAGTATTAACTCCTTAATTAAATATTTGATTTCATGATATCGCAATACAATGAGGCAGAAGAGAAAATAATTCTCGCATGTTAAAAAGAAAAGAAAAATATTATAATTTCTTTTTAATTTAATTAAAATTTCCTTAACTGCACTGGGGCAAATTTTGTTCTCCTTCTTGCGTGAGATATTTCAACGGAATTCATGTCGCTACTTTTAAATCTACCATCATTTATCCTATGCAAGTTACACGTTGCTGTTTCTTTGTTTTCTTTGTATGCTTTTGAACTAGCCATTACAGTTAAGCAGATTGGGAAAATTACGAGAGTCTTGTTGTTTTAAACTCTCCCAATTTAATACATTGTAATTCACATAGCTTGTAAAACATTCCTTAAATCGATTATATTTTGTTTTTCAATTGTTTTTCCAAACTCATTTAAAGAAAATTACTATATACCCGTTATTTATTTATAATCTGTATCCTTGATTAATAATGTTATTCCAGTGCTTTTTGTAAATTTTCTTTTGAAAACAATGTTGAACTAAATGAAAGTATAAATACACCATTTAAAATATCCCCAAAATCAATATTTATTGTTAAATTTTACTTTTTCTAGTTGGAAATGGAATACAAGGTAATAAAATTAAGAAAATTTGGATACATTCTTTTTAGAATTTAAACATTTTCTACGAATTGATGCTGTAAAATTTATCAACTGCTCAGTTGGCTTAGAAGGCGGAGAAAGGACAATTTGATTGGACTGCTTTCTTTCTACCTATTCCACTGGAGAGGTCACGTGAAGAGTTTTAATTATATTTTATTGACCAATACTGTCGGGCAAATGACAAAGCCGAAAAAAGATCATTACAGTCCATAAAAATGCAATTTTAAATTTAAATATCACCTAGACGTGGTGTAAGGCGAGGAACTGAGTTGAACTGCACTTTCTCCAATCTTGATTATTTGCCTTTTGACTTCCTACAGTCTTCTCGGATGAAATAGCCAGAAATCTCAGGGAGCATTTTTGAAGTTGGGGCACGGGAGCAATTGCATTGATTACTTCTTTTCAATCTTAATCCAGACATTCGCTTAATGTACAATAGTTTGTAGTAATTATTGCAATAGTTGTAATATGTAAATTACACGAACAAGATATTTTCTCTATTCAATGTTAAGTTATACTAAAGAAATTTATAAATTTAGAATTATTATTTGTTTTGATTAAACACAAATATTGAATAAATATTTTATTATTTATAACAGGGAATCAAATGATTTATATATTGTTATTTAGAATTTACACTTAGTTTACCCCAATATATTTACATTGCATAATTACGCGAAAAATATTTCGTCATAAACCAATTTACATATTTTCAATAATTCAAACATTTCTGCTATTATCATTGTCTTCGATGCAAATCTCATGGCTAAAAGGTAGAACTGTACTTTTTTGTTTCGTGCTTCTTTTTCAAATTTATTGCTGGAAACTGCTGTAAAGCTTAGCAATTATTAAAGTGACTTAGAAATTTTAAATCTGAGAATAGTTTAATTCTTCGTTACATAATATCATATTTACATTAATATAAATTTAAGAAAATGCAGTAACTGGTTTACAAAAGCACATATTTTAAATTTTCTACTCAACAGTCGCGTTAAGTAGAAGTGCATTAGTTATTATTTGATTATTTAAAAACGGTAGATACAATAACAGATACATTTAATTTATTTTTGTTGTTTTTTAATAATATAATAGTTTTAAAACTATGTCATTGTTTGCACATACAAATTTAACAAGTGTAAAATTGAAAATAATTATTTTCAGCTCTTGCTTGCGGAGGTAATTATTTAAGCATTTCATTTATTTTTTAGTTATTTTTTATTATAGCTTTAAGAAATGTTTTTTTAATTCTCTATTTACAAATATTATTTAATTAAGTTTTTTAAAAAGCTACAAAAAACGCTTCAATTTTTGGATTTAAGAGGAAGAATAACTAACTAAAAAAAAACAAAAATTACAAAAGTACGATTGAAAATTTAATAAGCATCCGTTTATTAATAAGTACCCGTTTATTAATAAGAACCCGTTCATTAATAAGATTCACATGACAGTGCACTTTTTTGTTAAAAAAGTCCATTGTTTTTAGTAAATTAAACTGCATTAAAATTTTTATGTAGGCATATTAAAATGCTATCATTATTTTTAATAATTGAATTTTGATTGAATATTTTTATTTGTTTATTGTTGTTAAATAAAAAAATCACTTGCATCCAATTTCAATATCAATCGAAACTTTTCTCCGTAGATTTTGACATCTTAATTAAAATGATTATTTTAAAAATACTTGTGAGATTGTTTATTTTAAACCTACTAGAATTACTTTTTTGTTATTCCCGTATATTTCTTATGATATGTTAAAATAATAGAATAATTAAGAAATGAAAGTTCCAGTAGTATTAAAAATATCTGCAACATACGAGGTTTCCGTTTCGAAGCTAATGATAAATGAAATTTTTACATACTTTCTATTTTTCTTATAATAATTTATCTACTATAATAAAAAATACTGAAGAAATTTAAAATTTTTTATATTGCAAAATCTTGCCAAATCATTTTATTGAAATACTAAAAACAACTGTCTTAATAATCTTCTGTGACAATTCGTAAAGTATCTTGATAATAAAACTATTAATAAGGGATTGGAAAACATAATTATTGATTACCTAGAATTGTCAATTATGGGTAAACAATAACCTATTGTTGTAACTAACTATATAAAAAAAACTGCGATTGTTAAACAAGAATTGATAAGAACAAATTGAAACGATAACAGGTTTTATCTGCATTTCAAAAACTAACTTTTGTAGCAATATTTCTTTTCAATGCAGTATATTTAAAAAAAACAGCTTAGATAAAATAAGTACTCTTAGAAAAATATATTATCTATGATACTTGAATTCAAAATATTGTGAGCTATAAATTTTACATTCAGCTTTCTCATCTATTTTTCTTGTTGTATATGAAGTCAATTCTAGAAGAATTGGAAGACTTTTCCGAATTCCGATAATTCAAAAATGTTGTAGGGGAAAAAAATAAAAAGTCTAAAAACTCAGAACCAAAACTAAATAAAAGAAAGTAACCTAATATAATTAGCAAAGATTGTTTAGTTTTTAATTTTTTAACTCAATTTATTTATCTTTTAATACTAACATATCTTCCTTGATTTTTAATACTATTGCTATAAATACTGATAGTAGATATTTTGTCAGGAGGATTATGAGGCCTTAACCTTCCTTTTCAACTGGCTCATAATGAGTTAAAAAGACTCTCATTTAATCAAGAATGCTGTTAATTTGTTTCAGTTGCTAGAAATGATAAAAGAATTTTTAAATCATTTATCTTTTCATTTTACCTTTCTTCCCAGTTGGAAAAATTGCTGATGGTAAGTTTCTAAATTAAATTTTACATTAATCACTAGGGTTAAAGTAATATATTAATCTCGTGAAATAAAGCTTGCTTAAGCACCCGATTTTTATACATAATTTATTAACTTATTTAAACTTATTTAATACATAATTTATAATTTTATTTTATTAAGCCCAATTTTTATACATAAACTTATAGCAGAAAATCAGATATGATATTATTTATTTAATTATAATATGTTATGTATTAAATTAATCATCTAAATGGTTCAATCATGGTTAATCACCTAATGGATTATCAGCTAATGGAATGTACCTTTATTTGAAGAGTCTGAACAGTATCTGCAATTTTTAATTAATAAATACACTTTTTCCTAAGACTATTTCATGCATAAGTGAAATTTTTGATAAAAATAATTGTATTGATACAATAAATTTAAAACGAAAATCTTTACACATATTTTTTTCAGAGGTTGCTTCAGCAGGTAAATAGTTTGGATTATTTAATGTAAAATTTTTCACTCATATTGAATCTTATTTTCAATGTGATACGTTTTAAAACATGCCACTTCATGTCTTATGTTTCAAATTAGATCATATTACATTATAAAATACATGACAATTTTTTTCCAGTACAAACTAGTAATTATATTTTACATTATTATATATAAATGAATGTAGAAATTCTTAATAATGCATTATACTTACACAAAACATCAATTTACTTGTTATTTTGAACTTACAATCACGTTTTTGATATATTTTTATATCAGGTGGTGAGTATATCTCTGACGTTTAGTGTAAAAGAGTTTTCTTATTATAGTTCCTGAAATTGCTGTACTGATTTAAAATATATATATACGTAATAAAAATGTTGTTTACACTTTTACCTTTTTAGATCTCCTTGGAGGAGGTATGTTATTTTATGTGTTAGAGATGCTTCAATTTAACCGCTTATATTAGGGCATTTGTGCAGTGCATCTTAATTTTAAACTAATAATTCTCTTTTATATTTTTTACAGCTGCCGATGTAGTTGGTAGTAAGTATTTTCTATTAGTTTCAGCCTTTTCCTATTTAACTCTCAAATTTTGTAGATTTTGATTTCGTTTAATATACAATTCGAAACTATAATTAATAATAAACTCTTTTTAAGTAGGAAAACCATTTCAATTGGAAGAAAAATAAAAGAAATCAGTAAAATTATGTTATTTATCGAATGCTAACCGTGGCAAAATAGTAACTATTAAAATTTCACCTCTTCGCAGAATCTTAAACATTTGCTTAATCTATAAATTGTCGTTAGTTTTGTCAGGTATATATTATAAATGCATCAGAGGATAAAAGAGAATATAGCAATTATTAAATTCCATCCTGCGACATGTTATTTTCAGAAGTTTGAACCTATACATAAAATTCTCTCAAGAAAAAAAAAGCTTTTTATGAAATTTGACTCTAAATAAAATGTTAAGACCATAGCAAAATTAAACATCAGTCACATAATCCACAAAATTCCGCTAAATTTACCATACTGCTGGTAAATGATATTTTTAGTAAAAACAACCCTAATTACGATTGCAAAAACCAGATTATACGATATTTTACTATTTGGCAATTTTTCCATTTGTATAGTAGCAGTTACAACTAACCCGAAACTAAAATCAACAAAACTTACTTATTTCAAACATTTGAAAAACATTTACTTAATTATAGTTATTTAAAGCACATATTAAGTAAAAAAAACTCACAGGCAACTTTAACCGAAATAATAGTTTTTTGCCATGCAGTAAGATGTGATATTAACATAAATGAATTTCACCATATTTTTTTTAATTTTTTCACATGAAATCAAATTTGTTGTTAATTTTTGGCAAATTCATTAACGTAGCACTTTTTCAGAAATTACTGAGCTATTCGGTGTTCCCTTAGAGCCCGAAACACTGTATAGATTACCATACTTTGGTAGTTTCGATCATACTTTTAGTGCAAAAGAAATTTCTTAATAGCTCTAAATTTTATGTCGATAGATCTTCTTTAAGAGCAACATCCCGTTAAATTGCAAATAGGTATATAAGTATTTACCTTTTAGAGTTTCTCTAGACAGTATATATTCTGAAAATTAGAAATAATAGCATTTTTGGGAGTTTTTTCATTTTTTTTAATTAATATGAAAGGTATTTTAATGTTTTGGTTTTAATTTATGACACCGTAATTTATTGTGTAGTTTATTGTAATTACATTTTTAAAACTATCTTTTTGGATAAATTTGACACAACCACATATTTGAATACTGACAAACAAAAATTCCTAAGATAGCAAGTTTAAATAAAACACGCGAACTATATAAAAATGATAGTAATACGTGAAGTGATATTATTGAATATATAAGGATATATTATTTAAGTGGATATTATGATGTATGAAAGTAAAATCCTTACTTTTTGAAAATTTCGCCTCCGTTTAGAAACGTAAAATTAAATTCAGAAAAATAAATCGTTTCTAATTCCATACATTATATAACTTGTATAGAACAATTTTGGACATTTCATATGCAAAAACTATAATCTAAATGTTATGAAATTACATAAAATATAATTTTACAGCGGCAGTAACAAGTGGTAAGTGAAGTTATAAGTTTATAGTTTGAAATTTGTTTTATTCCAATACTTGGTGTGTAAATTTAAAACAGAATTTTGGTACTAAAATTACTTTTCTTTCAGTATATATTTAATTATTAAATCACTTATATCTGCAAGATGTATTTTAAGAATAATACTTGTTTTTTTAACATTTTTCATGTTAAGTTTGAACTAAAAAATAATAATAAATAAAATAAATAAACAAATAAGCAAATTGAAATGCAAAGAATATCAATCTTAAATAATTTAAAAATTCACTCCTATATATTTTATCAATTTAAATCTGAATACTTTAAACAATTTTGTTTCGTAAAAAATTCTACATTTTTACATTTAAGCAGGTTTACTTTTTAATAAAAGCATGAAACATCAAAAAGAATAATTTTTTGTACATCAATCAAGAAAAAAGTATGCATACACGTGTATTTAAAGTTTTTCGAAGATGCCGGTCGACTGTATCGTTGTTAGGGAGCTGACCTTGAGATCTAGCACTCGAATCCCTGATAAGACATTGATGTTCTTTTCTCCTTCACATAACTATTTGTTCTTCTTGATGTGGGAGCAACATGGGCCCACCAAATGTGGTGACCCTGAGAGAGAGCTCAACAAATCTATCCTTCTTGTACCCGAATGATGAAAGTCAAAATCCGGGTGATCTTTGGAATAAAAAAACAAGTTTTTTTGAAGGTTGACAATGATGTTATGGCAGGAAATTAAAAAAAAAATTTTTTTTTCCTCCATATTAAGTTGGTTTTTTTTAAAATTAAAATGTACTTTTTTTCTCACTTTCAGTTGCAAGTACACTCGGCGGTAAGTATAAAAGAACTGAAATTTGGTATTTTATAATCTAAATAAAATTTGAAAAGTAATGAAAACAATGGGAAATTGAATATAAGTGATTAACGGTTTTGTTACAAATCTAGTTCAACCAACTCTATTTCAACAACATTTTTTGTTAATGTTTAGCTGGGAATAGTTTGATTTGTTGAATAAAAATACAACCTTATCATTTGAGACCAAAAAATATGCAAAATCTTAATATTTTATGCCCATACAATTATCGAAAATTTTAAAAACGAATTCTCTTAAACTAAATGCAAAAATTGTGATATCAAAATACTGTACAAAGTAAAAAACACCTTCAAGGCAGTATCCGTACACTGAGAAAAAAACTGGTAAGTAATCCATGCTGTAAACGACATTTCTTCTAGAAAAACTTAGTTTGGGAAATAAAGCCTAAATATAAGGTAAATAAATTATCCGTTTGGAGTTTTTCCGTTCACTTAGTAACAATTCACATTAAATTCTTGTTTTTATACATATAATGCTTGTAAACACACGTTTGATAAAAATATAAGCCTGTAAAGTAAATATAACAAAATAAATGGCTTTCATGACATGCTCTAAGATATCATGATAAAATTATAGAGCTTTACCATATTTATCAAATTTTATCACATATTAAAAAGCCATATTTTCTTATTGATTTTGCAAAAATCAATACTACAGTACGTCCGTAAAATTATTGAAATTTTGGTATATCCATAGAGTTAGAAGAACTGTAAATTTTAACTGAAAAATACTGTAAGTTTTAACCATAATTTTTTTCTGAGTACGAATTCCATTTTCATCATAAAAGTTAATACCATGGATTTCACAGTAGTATTTATCTAATCACATTGATTGAGGGATTTTAAAGAGATTATTACCATAAAAATGATAGTACATCAGTTTTTTGGTTCCCTAAGACTTTACATAAAAAATACTGGCACCTTGAGTGCCCGTAGATTTTACTACAGTTTGATACGGAGTTAAAATACAATACCAAGATACAATTTTTTTTATCTTAAACAGTGAAGGAATGAGTTTGGAATTTCGGTCAGGGCATTTGATTTGATCAGAAATAATTAAAATGAATAAATTAATATAAAATTATCTGACTTAAATTTACAAATCTGTATAATTATCAGTTAACCTTTACTCTGCTCAAAAGAAGAGTAATCTTGTAAAATATTTACTGTATAGTTAATTTTACAACGCACTTAATGTAATAATATTATTATTTAACTTATAATTAACATTATACTGAAACTGTAATGTTAATCACGTAATAACTTTATATTTTAGTGCGTCATATTTTATGAATTTTAAAAATTTTTACAAAATTAAAATCTTAAGAATTAATTTAGAATAAAATAAACTACAAAAAAATAGTAAATTTCCATTTTTTAGAGAAAAATTGAATTATCTTCCATCTAATTGATTGAATATATTTTTTTTATCATTTTCAATTTCTTATTACAGATGTTGTTGGAGGCGGTAAGTAATTACTAAATCGAATTGCAAATACTGGCATTCTCTTTCAATTAATTATTTTCTTAGAAACTCGAGAAATTACAACTACTCATAAGAAAAGTCGTAATGAAAATGTTATTCAATGAAAGAGAAGATTTCTAAAAAACCTTGAGCGAGAATTTCTTCAACGATTATTGTTTTATATACAATTTTAAAATAAATTTGTAGAAAGACAAAATAGAATAGCTCTTCCTAATTTTGATATTTCACCTTTCAGTCAATTTTATTTGCATTTTTAATGCAATATTTGAAATTTTAGCAAAACAAAGACATTCTAAAAAATTTTTGACATCAGCTCTGAGAATTAAATCAAAACCCAAATTATTCAACACGCGTTGTTATATTTGATTTCTAATTTCAGATTCTGAAATTCTTAGCTCCGAAATCATTAAAACATTTTAATTTATCTAAAATGTAATTCTAATGTTTTTCTTCAAATGTAAAAATTTTCAGAAAATTTAACACCTAAACATTTCATTTGATTTTGATGAAATTAGTATATCTTAGATAAAAAATTTGAAAAACAAATTTAAAGTTTCCAGTGCATAATATTATTCTTAAGGAAAACTGGTTAAATAAATTAAAACTAAACAAAATCTATTTCAGAAAATCAATATATTACATTTATACTTATATTTCGATTTTAGATATGATTTTGATTGAATACACTAGTGTATCTAGCAAATGTCAATTCTGAAAAAGTTGCATGAAAACTGATTTTTCATAATTCAAAAATGAGAAGAAAAAAAATAATTTTATTTGACCATTAACCAAAAAATTAATAATTAACTATTTTTTTCACATTTTACAGCTGTCGGAGGAGTTGCTTGTAAGTAGTTTTAATTTTAAAGTATTCATCAAGCTTAGGAATTTAAAAACTATAGTAATAAACTAGAAAATTTCACTTTTTCAACTTTTTTAATCCTAAAATAAATGACTATATAAGGAACGAGTTTGTTTTTTAAAGACTGTTAATTTCATGAATTGTGTACTTTTGACTTAATAACCATTAAATATAATTACTTCAATTTTTGTAACAAAAAAATAATATTTTTCCATTAATTCGCAATACAGAAATTTAATTTAGATCATTTTCAATTCTAGCTGTTATAAGCCAAGGTAAGTTTCAAGGATGATGTTGAGCATAACTTTATAACAAAGAACTGTATCTGTACTAAGCAACTCAGCCAACAGTTTTCAATATTTCCAACTGGAAGGAAATTTTAATGTTTTTTTACGTTTACAACAAGACAGAAATGTTGTTAAGAATTTGCATTCGAAATCTTACTTGAAATATTTACTTTTCACCGTTTTAACAAATTTACCTATTAATCCCGATCGTTTCGTTCTAAAAACACACGTTGTGAGGAAATATTGTATTGGGCGAATGTTCATGCGCACGTACAGTTTTCGTGAATGACTCTGAAGCAAGTTTCACCCTAAAACAAGTGAGTAACGCTATGATTGATGAGTAACATAAATAAAAAAATTTTCGAAACTGCTCTTAAAGAAAAATAACTTTTTTTTCCGAACTGAATGATATTCTTATTATATCAATATTCTTTTAAATATAATCTTGCAGTGCAGTGACATATATACAAGATGAGAATAAAGAAAGACATAATGATTTGTAATATAACACTTTTAATGCCTTAAATAAAGAGTTCTGTATGTAGCTGTCACATAGGAAAGAAAGAAGAAACGAGAGAAGAGGTGTGTTACTATGATAAGAAAAAGAGCAAAAAAAAGAAAGAAGTTCCTGTGTTGTATTTTTTATAAGAATTCAATGTAGCCAATTCCAGCAAGGTTATTATTATATCTATACTAGTTAAAAATGGTTAAATAGCAGAAACTTGTGAATTCTCCGTAAAAAGTAACATACTTTAAAAATTGCTCCGTAATATGTGAAAAATAATTTTTAAGCTAAAATCTTTCCGAGTAACTGTATTATGCAATTTACTGTCACTCTGTAATTAAAAATTAGATTTTAATCAAATGAAATATTATTTTTAATATTTATTTTACTTCAAAATCATACGTTGAATAGCGAAAATTAGTTAGGAAGAGAAAAAATTGTATTAATGCGCAAACATTTTGAATTACATTGTAAAAACAGATTCAATAACATTGAAATACAAAATACTCAAAATTTCATAAATAAATTGAATATAAAGAGTATTTAAAATATTAAGTACTCACGTTGCATAAAATATGAATAAAATTACCAAAATTCCTGATGACATTTATATATTTTTAATACTTTCTAAAATATTTTAATATTTTTAGTATTTCTGATAAAATTTATATATAGTATTTATAAGTCTTATGAAAAATAATATAATACTTTGAACCCATGTAAATCATATAAGAAGTAAATTAAAGAGTAAATTAAGAAGTAAAAGGCCATTTGAAGTTTGAAGGAAATATGCAAACTTTAGCAACATTCCAACTGGCATTACTTGAAATATTTGAGTTTAGATTGCTCATTAAAGTTGAGATCTCCGAGGAATCTTAATGAAATATTCAAGATAAATTAATATTTATTGTTAAAATGTATTTCAAATCTATACTTTTTTTAAATCATAAGCTTTAATGAAAATTTATTACTACTTGTATGAATATTTTTTCTAGTAATAATTACATTCATGCGTTCTTTAAAATTTCAGCTGTTGGTATAATTGCGGACTTGTAAGCACGATATATGGTAAATAAATTTTCGCTTTAAGTATTTTATTCAAATATTATAAATTTTAGTAATTTTTAGTTTGTCTACTAATTTTTGTTTTGTTTAATTAATTTATTAATTTTATTTTTGGTATTTTTTGAGGGAGGTGAGAGGGGGGGGGCATTTTAGAACTACTTCCGCATGTGAAAATGCACCACTCAAAACATAAACGAGAACTTTAATCTACTTTTCCCTTGTGCCCGGCTAACCAAGAAATACCAAAATTATTTTTATTAGGAATGTGAGAAGGATAAATTGCAGAAGTATGAAATAATGTTAACCAATAATTCCAATAACCAATGATGTTCACAATGTAATAAATTACTATTTTGAAGCAAAAAATATTGCAAATTTAAATGTTCAATAAATAATTTTTCATGTTAATCTACATCATTTATTAGAGACCAATAAATTAATATTTGATGATAGAAATAGAAAGGTTTAAACAACGAGAAAACACATGTACCAAAATTGGAATTCACGACTACTTGTTACATGCTGAAATTGCAAGTTTTGAATTATAAATAAATGAAAATAATTGAAAATAATTGCTGTAGTAAACATAACACTTTACACTTATTATGAAATTGACTCTAATTGATTTATATTAACAATAAATTACATATCCATAGAGGCAAAAATTGCAACGTCTCACTTGCCTTTTTAATATTTTGAATAATTCCTTAAATCTCATGAGGCAAATGTGAAAAAAACTCATATGTGTCGTATAAAAATATTGTTGTTTTTTCTCACTTAAAAAAAACCGTAATATTTAAATTTATAAATTAGTTTTAACATAAATAAATCTTCAAATTCATATTGAAAAGAATATAAATTTATGAAAATAAATAAGTGATTTAATTTTAATTGAAGAAACAGAGTTACATAAAAAAAGTTTTTAAATTACAAAAAAAATCAAAAAATCACTATAATAAACTGAAGAATTTCAAGCATAAAACTGATAAATCTTTATAACTCAATATTTCCATTTAACCACAATTAACACACATTTTATTAAATAATTATTATCACATAAGAGTACGGGTTTCTGTTGCTTGAAAACAGCTTTGTCCTAAAACCTAGCATACTTTATAGCAATTTTCTTTTAAACATCTTAATTTTCTTTAGTGACATGGTATAAATAATTGTAGATTAAAACTTGACAAGAAAAAAATATTTGGTTCTTCCTTGATAATTATGAATTTTAATTGGGCCAATAATGTGTGATGAAATATTTGTAGTTATGTTTGATAAAGTTGTTTGGTCAGAAGAAATTATTTTTTTTTCAGATTTGAGAACTTGCTCAAGACATTCAACGACGGCGAGAAGCATTCTAATAAAAACTGGATTTAATGTAAAACATCAACTACTATAATAAATACATATGTGTTCCTTATTACAGTGTGTTGCTCTTATTCATTTTATTTAACGCTTTGAATACTTACTTCATATTAAATTTGACTCCATGGCTCCATTTGTTTAAAAATAATTTTAAAAAAAACGAAATCTTGTAGCCTAGGAGTTTCATATTTTCGCATTCTTTACTCTTAAGCGAGTAAAACAATTTTAAGAATAATTGAAGCTGCTCATATCTGTCCTATGTCATTCTTAAAAAGATAAGCAAAATATGGTTATTGACAAGCAAAATATGGTGTTAAGTTTTTCTGAATAAGGGAGTTTTTCTAAATAATGAACCCTGAAGAGATTTTAAACATGAATAATTCGTCATAAGTTGAATTCAATACCAAGAAATTTATGGAAAACGTTCTTGTTTTACAATTTTGAATTTGTTGGATAAGCAATTAACTTTCTACAATTAAAATAACTACACTTTAAATTTAACCAAAGATGACTGAAGTTTACCTTTGCAAATAAGATATGCTGCACTCTTTTTTTCCCAAAGCCCACACTTACATTGCCATTCGGGTATCAAACCGTTGTCTTATTCGTCATTCAGTTATCAAAAGGACAGATGTGATGACCACTCTTTCAGGGGACGCCATATTTGGAGGGCTGACGTGAAGCCTTACAGCTAGAAGGACATATAGTACAATGAGAAGATGTTAAAAACATTCAATCTTCTGGCTGGGATTCGAATTCGGGACCTTTTTGACTAGAGGTCAGCTCTCTGACTAACATACAGGGTTGTCAGTATAATGAGCAAGAAAAAAAAAAGAAAACAAGCTATCACCCTTAATAACTTTCATTCTTATGACCGTATTTTCTCATCTCATAATAAGTGTCAAACTTACATGCTAAATATGTAGCGCTAACTATTAAGTTATGAAATTGGACACAAAAACNGAAAAAAATATAAATTTATGAAAATAAATAAGTGATTTAATTTTAATTGAAGAAACAGAGTTACATAAAAAAAGTTTTTAAATTACAAAAAAAATCAAAAAATCACTATAATAAACTGAAGAATTTCAAGCATAAAACTGATAAATCTTTATAACTCAATATTTCCATTTAACCACAATTAACACACATTTTATTAAATAATTATTATCACATAAGAGTACGGGTTTCTGTTGCTTGAAAACAGCTTTGTCCTAAAACCTAGCATACTTTATAGCAATTTTCTTTTAAACATCTTAATTTTCTTTAGTGACATGGTATAAATAATTGTAGATTAAAACTTGACAAGAAAAAAATATTTGGTTCTTCCTTGATAATTATGAATTTTAATTGGGCCAATAATGTGTGATGAAATATTTGTAGTTATGTTTGATAAAGTTGTTTGGTCAGAAGAAATTTTTTTTTCAGATTCGAGAGCTTGCTCAAGACATTCCACCACGGCGAGAAGTATTCTAATAAAAATTGGAATTAATGTAAAACATCAACAACAATAATAAATACATATGTGTTCCTTATTACAGTGTGTTGCTCTTATTCATTTTATTTAACGCTTTGAATTCTTACCTCATATTAAATTTGATTCCATGGCTCATTTGTTTAAAAATAATTTTAAAAAAACGAAATCTTGTAGCCTAAGAGTTTTATATTTTCGTATTCTTTAAGCGAGTAAAACTATTTTAAGAATAATTGGAGCTGCTCATATCAGTCCTAAGTCATTCTTTAGCAAGTCATTCTTCAAAAGATAAGCAAAATATGGTTATTGACAAGCAAAATATGGTGTTAAGTTTTTTTGAATAAGGGAGTTTTTCAAAATAAAGAACCCCGAAGAGATTTTAAACATGAATAATTCGTGATAAGTTGAATAAAATACCAAGAAATATATGGAAAACGTTTTTGTTTTACAATTTTGAATTTGTTGGATAAACAATTAACTTTCTACAATTAAAATAACTATACTTTAAATTTAACCAAAGATGGCTGAAGTTTACCTTTGCAAATTAGACATGCTGCACTCTTTTTTCCCAATGTCCACACTTACATCGTCATTTAAGTATCGAACCATTGCCTTATTTGTCATTCGGTTATCAAAAGAACAGATGTGATTACCACCCTTTCAGGGGACACCATATTTGGAGGGCTAACGTTAAGACTTGCAGCAAGAAGGATTTATAGTACAACGGGAATATGTTAAGAAAATTCACTCTTCTGGCTGGGATTCGAATTCGGGACCTTTTTGACTAGAGGTCAGCTCTCTGACTAACATACAGCGCAGTCAGTATAATGAGCAAGAAAAAGAAGCTATCACCCTTAATAACTTTCGTTCTTATGATAGGACTTTCTCATAATACGTGTCAATCTTATATGCTAAATATGTAGCGCTAACTATTAATTAAGTTATGAAATTGGACACAAAAACTTACTTTCTCTTAATATATATTTTATAATGATTTATACGAATACGTGGTTAATAATTTTAAGCATCTTAAAAGTTTTAAACATCTTACATATTGTCTTAATCTGTTAAGTTGTAAATATTATTTCTCAGCTTTAGCACAATTGAAAAAAAAATTAATATAAGGAAAATGCTCGATATGCCTTATTTTGTTGAATAGCAAATACTAAAAATATAAAATTGTAAAAAGATTCCAAAACCATGCTATTTTTAGAATCATCATCTCGAAAAAATTGTTTTTTTTTCTAACTTCTGGAATTTCTTTAATGCTAAAGTAAAATATATTAAAAGATTTTTAGATAGCAAATTATGTAATTAATATATTTAACAAATAATTTTAATGAACATTTTTCAGGAATTATAAATAGTCATTTTATTTCACCTAAAAAAATAATAATGTCAATGCCTCTTTTATGCTCAATTGTAACGTTACAATGATTTAATTAACCTCAGAAAAGAAATCTGTTTGGATGCAACATTTAATTTCTTAAAATAGTTAGAAACTATTAAACTTATTAAAAGTATTAGAAATTAAACTTATACTTTCAATTTGTCAAGAGCTGCAGGAAAAGTAGTGATATGCCCATTTACCATTATACTTACTGTTCATAAAGTTTAAACATGTAACTTGAGTTGTTTAAGCAAAAAAATACAATAAAATAAATTGTAAAATATGAATTCTATTGAAATATGTCTTTAAGTATAAACTAAAACACATCTAGTATAGATTTTGGATCGATAAATTAAAAATATATTTTCCAAAAGCTTTGAGTAGGGCGGAGACGTTAACTTGTTTGAAATAATTCACTCGTAACTACTTAACTTTGCTTCCAGAAGACAGGAATCATTTCATTGTTTCATTCGACGTTTGTAATTTTACTTGAGAATGGAATTGCTTAACTTCTCAAAAAATGTATTTCAGATCAGCAGCCAAGAAATTAAATAAATGAAAGAAAATAAATTAATTAATAAATAAATGAAAATTGAAGAAAGTTTGCTAAATTATATAGTATTATTTTTCTTTAATGTAAGAGCCATAACAGAAGGAAAAATCCAGCTCAAAGTCGCCCTGTCTGGCCGGAACTAATTGAGAAAGCCTTGGGCTGCACTAGGCTGTAGTGCTGAAGAAGAAGAGGAAGAACCATAACTGTTATTTTATCTAAAACTGATTTTAATATCACATTGAATATTTCTATTTAATGTACTGTGTCATGAAAGGAATAATCCCCAGAAAGTAAAGCGGAAAGACAAAAATTTCATTATTTTCAAAAAATAAGAAAATGTAAGGAAAATTTGAAGTGTTCTAAGCGCTCAAAAACTGGTGTCGGGAGTTATTCAAGTCTAGTCACCCTGAGAATGGTAACGTATGAAGTAAATGTTGAGCGTGCTTAGAAGACTAAAGGGCTCATTTTGACTCAAGGAACACTGCAGAGAAGTCCCTTTTCAAGAATACGGTTGATTCTATTGTTGCATATCTTCGGAATAAATTTCATCTCATTAATGCCTACATTCTAACCACTGCCAACATTCCAACCACATCAGTTCATCTTGATAGACAGGAATCTTGTTTTGTTCACATGAATGCCGATTCTCTTGTTAACGATATTCAATCTTTATGCCCTCCTATATTAGTTCTCACGCCATCGTTCCGTGGAACGCGCAAAAGTATTTTTACCCGGTTTGCCTTTCAAGGCTATTGCGAGTTTTCTAGTTTTGTTTTTCTTTTCATTTGATTTTTCATTTCACACTTAGTGTACTGTGGTTTTTCCAGTTTTTTTTCCATTCCAATTTTATTTATGCTTTCTCATTGCAACTTCACATTTCTGTTCTATATAACTTTTTTTTTCTCTTCATTCACGTCATGAGAGTCTTAAGAATGGGCGTTTATTTTCTTCATATTTTTTGAAGCCAATGAAGTTTTTACCATCAAGTATAATGGATCTTTCTTGATTATTATTTTGATCAGAATCTTACACTGAAAGAAGCAAACATCTGTAAATTATTATTTCAAAAGGATTCCTGATGTTCTTAAAATATTTAATCATGGCGTCTATATTAAAATACAAAAGTTATATTTAATTTTAAAATAAAAATTTCAAAACTTAAATATTTATAACCAGATTATTGAAGTTACATATTGGAATTGATAATTTAAAGCTATGGTGAATATAATAGTAATAAAATCCATTTATCTTCTTAGTTATGCCGCCTCTATTACAGTTTCTTAAGGACCTTACGAATTTTGGTTAAATGGACACTATCGTATCAGGCATATGCAAATATGTATGGTAGTAAAAATTTAAAGATAAGTTAATCATAAAAGGAATAATGCTACGGAATTATGGTAGCAATATTTGGTTGACTCAATTGACTTTTTATTTTATAACCGTCTTTGCACAGCTGACCCAAAGTTGAGTTTACGGCTATCAATGTTCAACTCCGTAGCCCTGTAATTTTGATCCCAATCCAAAAGACAAGTGCACTCCTCGATCAATACCCCTAGAGGTATTGATTTGTTTTGGGAATTTGGAAGACTTAGGGACCTGACATATTTAATGTACATCAGTCACCATTTAAATCAC